TTCCAATAAAACTGCCCAAATGTATGCACAAATAAGGGAAGGAATAATATAGTGAACAAATAAATCTCACACATTGAATTTTCCTGGCCAGGGTAACACCACCATTCATTCACTCATTTATTCAAAAATATGTATTGAGGGCTTATTGTGCATCAGGCATTGTGCAGATACTGGGATTAGAGCAATACACAAAGTAGAAAATGTGTAGCCCTCTTAAAGCCTTGTAATTTTTTTTTAATCCTCACCTGAGGATATTTTTTCCATTGATTTTTAGAGAGAGTGGAAGGGAGGGATTAGGGGGGGAGAGATAAAGAGACATCGATGTGCGAGAGACACATAGATCTGTTGCCTTCCACACCAGTTCCTACTGGGGCTAGAGAACCTGCAACTGAGTTATGTTGCCCTTGACTGGGAATCAAACCCAAGACCCTTCGGTCTGCAGGCCAACATTCTAACCACTGAGCAACTGGCCAAGGCGAGAGCTTGTAATCTTTATGGGAAATTGAAGTATGAAACAAGAAAACATATTCATAAGTGAAGTGCATTGGGGACAATGAAAGGAGAGCCCTTTGCACTAAAAGAGTGACCACACCTTCTTACTTTCCCATGGAAGTCCTGACTTAATCACTAAATGTCACCCTCTTTCACTCTCAAATTGTCTGTTTCAATTATAAATTATGTATTATCCCACTAATAAATCAGCTTTTTATTTTGTACTAGTGAATTGGAAAAGGAAAATAATTGAGCATTTATCATGCTCCTTCAGGTTAACTAAACAGATTTTGATGAATAGTCTAGGACTTATTTTTCAGAAAAATGTCCACTACAGATGTACATAAAATAGAATTAAAAATGATTTTTCTATAAACTCTAACTAATGTATTCACTTTAAAAAAAGATCAATTGTTAAAAGTATTGTTTAAAACTATTATTATGGTAATTGCAGGATGGGATATCCTTATAGTTTCAAAAATAACACCACAATAATCACTAAAGGATTATTATTTTTGTCACCAAGGGGAAAAACATATATAACTGAAGAATGGAGGGGTCAGATTGTCATCACCCTAGTCCAGTGAATGATTTTAGCATCATTAAGGCCAATCAACCAGATATTAGGTTTCTGGATATTCTATCACATCACCTATGGTGTATCCTAAAAATTATTTAACATGATTCCATCAAGCTTTTAGATTCAAATTCTAATTTGCTGGAAATACAGATATAAGGAAACAACTAAGTTACAGCACCAGACAAATCCAGAAGCTGGAATAAACTGTAGGAAAACTGGTTCAGCTTTCTTTTGTTGTTAATTCTCACTTAAGGATTTTTTTTTTCATTGATTTTTAGAAAGGGTGGGAGGGAGGGAGAGAGGGAGAGAGAGAGAGAGAGAGAGAGAGAGAGAGAGAGAGAGAGAGAGAGAGAGAGAGAGAGAGAGAGAGAGAGAGAGAGAGAGAGAGAGAGAGAGAGAGAGAGAGAGAGAGAGAGAGAGAGAGAGAAACATCAATGTGAGACAGACACATTGATTGGTTGCCTCCCACCCTGACCCTGACTGGGGCCGGGATCAAACCTGCAACCCAAGTAGTGCCCTTGACCAAGGATCGAATCTGAGACCTTTTGGTGCCTGCTGACTCTCTAACCCCTGAGCTATGCCAGCCATGGCAGTGTGTTTTTTGTTGTTTTTTAACAAGTAAGAGTCTGTGACAAATTTAGCTTGATTAAAGGAGACTTAAGATGCATAACAACTAGAGGAAATCTGGTTTGGACAAGCCAACTGTATTAATACATTTTAAGAAACTTGGGTAATTTAAATATGGATCAGTTATAACATAAGTTGAAAATGTATTGCTAGGAAAGGCAGATATAGCTAAAGGGGAAAAAGTTGATTGCAAGCAACACATACAGAATGATCTCAAAAAAAGAAATATATGTGTATGTGTATAAGTACATAATATCTGGAAGGATACACAGATGTTCAATAAGATTAAGGGGTAGCAATGTTCTACGTACAGAGAATATGGTACCAAGTCATTTAAATAAGATGCATTTTTGCCTTGCTAGTTTGGCTCAGTGGATAGAGCATTCGCCCTTGGACTCAAGGGTCCCGAGTAAGATTCTGGTCAAGTGCACATATCTCCATTGCAGGCCCAATCCCATGCCCTGGTTGGGGCTCATGTGGGGGGCAACCAATTGATGTGTCTTTCTCACATCAATGTTTCTCTTTCTGTGTCCCTTCCACTCTCTCTAAAAATCAATGGAAGAATATCCTCAGGTGAGAATTAACATTAAAAAATAAATAAGATATATTTTTGTTGTTGTGTTTTCCCACTGTCTACAATGCACACATATAACTGTCATAATAACAAACATCTAATTTTTATTTAAAATGTGATATTAGAATCACCCTATATAATAAAAGCCTAATATGCTAAGTGTCCAGTCTTCCATTCAACCAATCAAAGCATAATATGCTAATGATATGCTAAGGCCACTCAACCGCTTGCTATGATGTGCACTGACCATCAGGGGGCTGATGCTCCAACCAGTAGGTTAGCTTGCTAGTGGGGTCCAGCTGATCGGACTGAGTAAGACATGCTGGACACACCCTGGAGCCCTGCCACGTCCCTCCCCAGCCCCGATCATGCACTGGTGGGGTCCCTTTGTCTGGCCTGCACCCTCTTGCAATCTGGGCTGAGGGAGCCCCCCTCCCAGTGCAGAATTTTGTGCATCGGGCCTCTAGTAGTTTACAAAGGGATGGGTAAATAAAATTGACCAATTTTATAAATTTTACTTTTTCTTATTGTAATTAACTGGATATGAGTAAATTACAGTACCAGGAATATAGTGAGTTATTTTTAATGTTTCAACCTAATAATCTTATGTATGTACACTTTGACGTATATTATTTTTTCTTTCTAAGCATGCTGAGCTATCACCATGTCAATGATTACTTCTTCACTATTTAATATTTGTTTTGTTGTTCACTAGTTGCTATACAAAATATATCAAAATATATTCTTTGCTGGGCTTTACTTGGGGATGTTTTATTAAGTTATAGGGAATTGAATTAGAAATAAACATTTCCAAGGTAATTAAAGAAAAAAAACAAATACTAATATTCCTCCCATAATCTATAAAATGTTTTTATGAGAAAAAAATCAAAACTAACATAGATGTCCATTATTACCACAATCTTTTAAAATATTTTCTCATACAAATGAAACTTAAGAAGAAGAAAAAATTGTATCTCTAAAATTTAATGAGCTAACTTAATTAATTTTTACCCTGCTTTTTCCCAGAAGAATTCAAGAGATGTATTAGAATATATAAAAGATAACAGGCAATGTTATTATAAAATTAAAGTAAAAATAAAAAATTTTAAAAATAAGGTTGAGAAAAAGAACAAGAATAAGTTTTTAAGTGCATAGAATAATACCCATATAACTAGGAAATGTGGTCTACAAAGTGAGTCAATTGCTCTGACTTACAAGATTAGATTAGAATTTCTCCTGAGAATACTGGTAAAGAAATACCTTCTTAAGTCATGAACACCATTCTCAAAAACATTAAAATATGTAGTAGGCTTTCATCATCTCATTTTCACATTATTTTTAGTGTTGTTTTCTTTTTTAATTTGAAGTGTTTCTTTTGGAGTCTTCAGAAATTCACAACTAAATTTCCATTTCCAAAGAACTAATTTACAGTTTAGTTGCTAGTTCATTAAGGGACTGCAAGAGGATTGATGCTATTCATGTGAATTACCAGGAATTGGGGAGGCTGAGATTAAATTTTATGAACATTTTTAAAACTTTACCGTTTAAAAAATGCAAGATGATTGCATTATGAATATGAATGAGTTCCATTAGCAATCATTCATTGATTTAAGTGTCTACAGAATTTTTTTTTCAAAAAAGCACATATTTTATGAGGAAATTTGATTATTTAAGTAAAGAGTTGTGAGGCTTTACTTAATTCAGCCATTCCAAGCCAACAGGACCAAATATTTGTTAATACCATATGTTGGATATTTTGCGAGGGGTTAAGGATCTAGTTGTGAGAGGACACCTGAGTTAGTGAATGCTAACATGGTGAATTCATAAAATATATTTGGTTGTCCAATCAATAAATGAGTGAACTCCCTGTTTAACTATTACTGCTGTAGTCTAATAATTTGGCAATGTATAGGCAAATGGGGAGTGGTGATAATAATACACAGATCTCTTATATTGTGAATGAGGAAGTCCTACTGACTCTGGCATTATTTTAGCATTTGCTTTTGACATTTGGAGTGTGAAGGGGAAACTTCTTACCTTTAACTTCTACCAGTAGCTGGTACATAAAGCTACTTTCTTTTTCCTTCAGTTTTAACAGAATCAGAACAATAGTAGGTGCTAACATTTAGATTGAATTTAAAAGAACCATCTTCTTCAAAGTTATCAAATAACTAAGTTGAGAATACAAAAAGTGAACCGAAACCCAGGGAAGGAGCTAAGAATTTGTTAATCCCTTCAAAGATGAGAATCTCCGGCATCTTTTGAAGGTTCTTTCTATTCTTAAAGTGTCACTTTATTTTAATATCACCATGTCACAATCTCTAATAGCAATATAGAACTCACAAACATTTTTTTATATTTTGGCAAACTCAACTTGAAATATAGGTAAAGTGTGTGAGAGCGAGAGAGAGAAAGAGAGAGAGAGAGAGAGAGAAGAAAGAATGAGGAAGAAGATGAGAATAATAGCAAAGAAGTGACAAACTTTTTTTTTATTAAGCTGCACAATTAATTTAGTTGAACATTAAGTTTAAATAACTGTTCCTTGGTTTGCCTGTTATTTTATTCACCTGAAATTATTGATTAATTAAATAACATACAAACACAGAATGATATGCAGCACTCTATACCCTTGTGTCCACAGCATACATTTTGGCAGTCTCTGTCCGAGGGGCTATGTATGACTTGGCCATGGAAACAGCTGCATTCGAATAGGCCTTCCTCATGGAATAAGGATAGTTCCTTTCAGGTCCCACATCTGTTTAGGAGAGGTAATTGTAGGGATATCAACATAATTATAGCTGAGTAAACTTTGGGAAATAAAATAATGTCAATTTACATATTCTTCTCCAAAAGTGACAGAATATACTAGTACAAATTCTAAGAAAGAATCATCTAAGAAGACCTCTAGATGACAATATAAATTTTTATCCTGTAAGTTAATTTTAGATTCAAAATTGAGCCAGGTATTTTCTTTTTTTTTCTTGATAAAGAGAAGAGTTCTTTTTGTTTTTAAGTGGTATTTTTAGAAACCAAATTGCAGTTTTTAACAACAAATATTTGGTTTGCCTTTCAGTCTACTTCTCTATTTAACTCCAGATATAAACATAATAGATTGGGTGAAGTGAGAGATATAAGATTATGATACATCAGATTAACCATTATATGTTTGGATATTAGACAGTTGTAGCTATGGGACTTTTTTTCAATAAATGTACCACTAACTGGGTAATAGGTTTGAATATTAGAAATGAGTTGTCCTTGAACAACTGAATTTTTTAATGGCAGCGAGTAGAGATCAAGGGAATAACATTATTTTGAGTTGGTGAGATGTGTTTCCATTGGGTTGGGGAAAATGATACTGGAGGCAGAGAAGTAGGCTAGTTTATTTTGTTCTTACCTTTGAAGATGTATAAGCAGCATGTGAGGATACCCCCAGCCAAAAAGCAACCCAGAGACCCAGCCATTCCAAGCCAACAGGACCAACCAAATTTATATTGGATGCCAAGAAATATATTGTGCAAAACCAGAGTAGAACGTTCCACATAAACATCAACAGCATACCACACAGAACCGATAATTCCTGGGGCACCTAAAAGAAAAGGAAGATGTAAAAAAAAATAAATGCAGGTCTTTTCTAAATTTAAATCCTGCTTCTCAAAACAGATGGCATTATGCGAGGAATAATAAATGATACTGTGGATTCATGAACAACTCAAATTGTGGTCACCTCTTTTATGTGTTCCTGTGGCTGCCTATCTTGTATTTCTTCCAAACTACATCTCAGAAATACAAAAATAAGAGTGCAGTGCTCATCTGTTTTTGTAAATCTAAAATGGTCACTATGGTATTCTTTAGTTTTTCTCTTTCCAATGTTATTTTAGTATTGTAGAAAGAAAACTATTAAAACAAACGAAAAATCTAAGGAAGAGAAAGAACACAAAATTTAAGACAAATAATGAATAACATATGTTCTTTCTATATCAATATTTTAATTGAAAGTGGATGTCTTTAAGAACATTCTATAGCTCCCCTTCTTCACCACCCAGACTGATGGTTAAAGCCATGTCAACTACATAACACACACTCATATGGAAATTAATGTTTTTAAAGTCATTCATTTTAGTGTGTTGACATTAAAAACTAGTAACTGAAGTAAAAATTGTCTTCAATTTAAAACAAATTCTTACCTATCACCTCCACATATAAGAATAAACAGAGAAAATTTATTCCTTGTAAATAGAATTTATCCCTTATAAATAAAATGTATTCCTTTTAAATTAGTCTATCTCACAAATGACTGGCTTGAAGTGATGCCACTAAGGTCCTCTTGTTTTAAAGGAATAAATTGCAAGTCAGAGCCTAGATGCAAAAAACAATGGGGGACCGGAGGATAAAAGACTATGTGAAAAGGGTATTTCTGAAACTTGTAGTGTCCAAAATGTTTTTTCACATTTTTTTCTCGGGAGTTTGTGATATCTATTTAAACCACCATTTCATTGCATTCTTCTCCCAATTACTTAATACAGTTTTTAAGAAGAACCAGATCATGAACATATAATCTTTATATAATAGGGTATACCCTATCATGCCTTTTCTATAATACTGTAACCAATGGGTTTAGAATGGAAATTCCTTTTGTTATAACTTAGAATCTATGTAAATATTCATACTAAATGTTGGTTCCAAGTCTTTGGACATATCTGGCAATTTAAATGTAGTCCTTTTTTTCTTCAGCCATTCCTACTAGGATTTTCTCTGTAGACGTGGTTTTCTTTAAATTTAGCTCATTCTAAAAATAGCTAAATTCTTGTAACTTTTTAATACAATCTAAGGATCATCAGGGCCTTGACTCAATGTTTGCACGTGAAAAAATCAGGGAGAACCCGGTTTTGAGTTGGAGATAGGTTAGGCTCTCTGCTATGAGCTTGCTCTGCATACATTGGATCTTCACAAGAGCAATTCAAACTAGATATTATTGCCCGGGCTTCTGCCTATCCTGCAGATCAGAAAATGAAGTCAGGTTAAGAAACTTGTCTAATAAAACCATAATATGCTAATTAGACTGGACAGCCGAACGACCTTCCAGATGAAGCTGGGGCTGTGGGGGCACAATCTCTATCCATTCACTACCTAGAGTGCCTGGTCAGGTTCTCACTTCCATTTGCTTTGCTAACGTTTTGCTTCTAGCATAAAAGAAGACAGTTTTCTCACTGGAGGATATTTCTGTTGGTTTCTTCAACAGGATGCTTCCTCCAAACTTGCATCAAGATCCAAAGATGACATCATGTTGTGGTAGAGAAAGACTAAGCTTTGAAGTTGACAACAGACCTGAGTACAATATTAATTGTGCTGTTTCACTAATAAATATCATGTGAAGTGTTTCTTGACTTATGGCTTATTAGTCATGTTTGATTTATTAGTCTTCAGAACTCTATTTATTCATGTGCTTCTTAAGTAAAGAGAATAATATTATCTGCTTATTGTTTAGTTTATGATCAAATGGGTTGGCACATGAGAGAAGTCTATTATAGGTCTTGGCACAATTTAATTCATTGCTAAAAAGAATTGGTGGGGGTGGACGTAAGGAGGCTTAATCTGGGGCTTAACTGAGAATTTAACTTCAGGAATAATCACATTAGAAATTATTTTTTAAATTAAAGCATTATACAGCTTTTTAAGATAGTTGAAAAATAGTTTGAGGACTTTGATAAATCTTGATCTGCCATATTAACAAAAAAAGATTAATTATCTGATTCCAAAGCAAAAGAAAGCAGGACTGGTGAATGTGCCTTTTACTCCTTCAATTTAGAAAAGGAAGTCACACACGATCCTAAAATGACCACTTCAGAACATCACCCTTCTCCTGCACCTCAAGAACCCTGAAACACCAATCAGAAAGAATATATGCACCCCTATAGTCATAGCAATGTTACCTACAATAGCTGAGATCTGAAAACAGCTCAAGTGCCTATCAGTGGATGAGTGGATAAAAAAGTTGTGGTGCATTTACACCATGGAATACTATTCAGCTGGAAAAAGGAAGGATTTTTTACCCTTTACAACAGCATGGACAACCTGGGGAATATTATACTGAGTGAAATAAGCCATCAGAGAAAGACAAATATCATATGATCTCACTTCTATGTGGAATTTAATGAATATAATAAATTGGTGAACAAAATAGGTCCAGAGGAGGCATGGATGCATGGAATAAGCTGACATATCTCAGAGGTATGTATGTGTGTGTGTGTGTTGGGGGGTGGGGGGGATACAGGAAGAGATTAACCAAAGAAATTGTATACATATATGCATAACCATTGACACAGACAATAGTATGGTGAAGGCCTTGGGTGGGGCAGGGTTGGGGGACTAATGATAGGAAATTGGGGAACATCTGTAATACTGTCAATAATAACAAATTTTTAAAAAAGGATCTTAGCTGCATATATCTACCCCTACCACTAATCCAGACCAGTACCTGCTATTAATAATGTGGTCCCAGCCACAAAGCAGATGCGCACTTTGATGTATGGCTCATCAGGGAGGAATTTCACGCAGTGGAGACCCAGGAGCAGGGTAATAAATCCGAACCCAGCTAGAATATCTGCAGTGATCATCAACGCCCGAGTCAGCACCAGCTTCACTGCAAGATCGGGGCAGGTGGTTACAGCATACTCAGAGGAAGGAAACATACTAACTCACAGACGGGCATAAAACACAGGCAACCTGAAAGGGGTACACTTAAATTTACATGAGTTTAGAAATGAGTACCTTTACATTTCTCATAAAACAGAAATATTATCAGACTATTGACATGTATTATCAGACTATGACAGTATTATTTGTTTAAGCACTGATTATCACTTAGTCTTGTTGCCTCCTATAAAAATGCCTGGTATACAGTGGGGACTAAATAAATGTTTCTATTTTGCTTCCTGTTCTGGACTGAATCCTGTTCACAAGTATGATAACTGAACACTGAATTCATAGTAGAATATCCGTTATGCAGAAGTTACTCAGTGAATATTCAATAATAAATGACCACTATATTTGTTTGAACTTTTATTATAAAATATTAAAAATAATTTGTTAAAGTTTGATATAGGGGAGCAAAATTAATTTTAATACGTATGTTGCGACTTTAAGCAGGTGGGAGAACCGTAATAGACTATTTCTGGAAGACAGATTATATGCTCTTTCACATTCCTTCAAGCCTCATTTGTTCATGGCCAAGACATCATATTAACCCTTTCATTTGCATTGTCAACTGAGCATATTTTAAAGCTACAGGCAGTGAGAATAAATAGTAGAAGGCACAGCTAAGAGAAGATAAGGAAACTAGAAGTAGAAGAGTAGCAATCACCTCCTGCAGTGGAAGCACCTTCCAATGGGAAAGCCTCCTAAATGAGTGATGGTTAAGATAATTTAACAATAGGAAGACTTCATTACAATGTGTGGAGGGTTAATTACCCAAAGTCAGAACTACTAGTCCTTTAGCTGACTAATAGAGAGGAGTAATAAAATTTATTCCTTTAATGATATAGTAATTAGGTTTTATATTCATAGTGATTTGGGGTTCCGTTGCACTATAAATAATTTCCCCCAATGATGAGGTAAATTTAGGGCCTATTTAGTAATAGGTTGCTTACAAAAATGTGGTCAATTTTTCTTATTTAAAGCAAAAAAAATCTTTTTATGATCTATGCAAGAGAAAAATCAATGCATAAAATCAGCTTCTACATTATTAATAGGTATATATATTATAAGCAATTATTGTGTTATTAAAATGTGAGTATATATTCATTTCTAGAATGGAATTTTTAAGGTCTCAAAATTTAGCATTATTTTTAAAAAACTAGGCTCAAATTTCAAATTTAGGCTAAACCTAAGGCTGACTTTTCTCAAAATTGAGGAAAGAAAATAATATGTAACTCATGAGGTAATATTAGTTTTTATATTTCAACAGATACTCCTGATCATCAAATGATATACACAAGTGGGACTCCTGTTCAACACCCCAAGCCAAGGGGCCCCACACTTTGGAGTGCCTCGCCTGAAGTTTTCTATGAGCCTTTTTGGAACCTGGGATGACCCAGTAACAGGAGCACCATCTGGATGGGGTGCCCTGAAATCATTGTGGGTCCTGGTCTTCCCGTCTTTGACCCTCGATCCCACCCAGAGCATTATCCAGATGCTCTGCAGAACTCTAGGACTCATGCTTATGAGGTCATCCGGGTGCTTCATGGCTAGGCCAATTCCAAGATAGTAGCACTGCAAGCAGGTTGCTAATGCAGGTTAGCCGGGAACTTTCTTTTGAAGATTGTGTGAGATTTGGCTGCCAGAATAATATTAAATATATTCTAATTTGTGGGGGTGGGGGAGTCTCAAATGAACTATATCAACAGGAACCCTGGGGAAAAAAGTATTTGTCTGGGTCTTCATACTTCAGTTTACAGGATAATGGAAAAGGTTATCTTTGGTTGACTATAGTTGTGTAAAAGATATCAAAGACTAAAAATAAAATCCTACTCTCATAAGTAACACCCTAACATAGAGGGAATAGTTATAATATTTTCTAGAATACATTTTCATCTCCATTGTCTTTAAGTATATGGTAGAGATTTTTAAAGAAAGTTAATGCATCTTTTCAATGTTATTTGCAACTAATTGGTAAGACTAAATAAAAGAAAAATCTGAGATAGTGTAAGCAAAAGTTACAAAAGGAACATTGAAATATAAAGTGGGTTTTCTCTTGTGCAGTGTGCTCATGAGTGATTTTATTTTCCTCTTGCATAAGTGTTTAATATGTTGAAAGATTTCATTTTTTTCTCAGCTGTATCCATACCTCCATATTTCTGGAATAGCTTAGTGACCACATGAATTTATATTCCTATTGACCAAATCATGCTTCTTTGTAGGTAGAACTAGGTTAGTGCAAAGAGGGGAAAGTGGGAAAGAATTAAGAGGTCTTTTTTTAAAAAGATGAAATAAAGTCTTTATGAATTATGTTAAAAAATGTTCCAGGCACTCAAATCCCAAATGCCAGGGGAAGATATTTACAGCACTGAAATCCTTTTAGGTTCTTTGCCCTGGATGAATAGCTTTCCGGGGAGAAGTCACATTCCAAGATTTGCTTTTCATTTATCTTGAGAAAAGAAGTAACCCTGTGGTACCATCACCTGCCAATTACTTTGAAAAAAACTAATACCAATTTGCTTTAATCTGTCTCTTTCTGTCTCTGTCCTTCTATCTCCAATTCTCTTTTTATAGCAAATCTTCCATTGAAATGCTATAAACTTCTTATTTGAACAGTCATAGTTAAAGGCTATCTCTGAAATACTTTTCATCTAACCTGTCAATTCTAATCATAAAATCAAAGCATCCTGAAGAATCCGTTTCAATTTCAAAAATGTTTACTATAAGCCTACTGTGTATAAGGCACTATGCCAGGTCTTTGGGGGAAAAGCAGAAATGAATAACATAATATTTTTACTCTAAGGAATTTACAAACACATTGGAAAAGATAAAATACTCTAAAATGTTTCAACTCACATTTCAGAAATAAACTAAATGTCTAATGAAAATATTTAAAACTGGAAAGAACCTTCATACAGTACTGTAGAACAAAAAAACCACATGACAGAAACCTGAGTTCAATTTTCTTGGGTATTCCCTCCCTGCGTGGGGAATGTCTAAGGTATACGTACAGGGATGTTCAGCCAGGATAGAATCGTACTCATCGCAGGTGCGAATTCCATCAAAAGCATTTGTGACACATTCCCACCAGAGGCCCCGGCATTTTGTGCTCACCTAGACATGGGAGAAGACAGGGTGTGAAACAATTCATGCAGACACACTTTAGTTCCCCTTGAGCAAAGGAAGAGCTCGGCTGTTGTGAGTTTGATAGCAAAGTACAGTGGTTACGAGCATGATCAGAATTTCCCTTACAATAAACACAATGCATTTTACAGTATTTTTCCTTAAACACTAAGAATTAAAGGCTTTCCCCACCAGGAAGTGAATTCACTTTCTGTATAGGGGTGGGAGGGATAAGTCATGCCTCAGCTGGATAAAAATCAAAATTAAGCATATGCAGATGCCTATGGTGGTTCCATCATCCATAGTTTATCATGGAGATAATTCATTTCACTCTCCTGTGCTGACATTTACTCACCCCTTCACCCAAAATCAATATAACATTAGATAATAACTGTTGACATCTTGAGTCTATTAATAATGATCATTAATTTGTCTTCATCATGGACACTGGGTTCCATGAAGACAAGTGTTATTATAAATGAGGTTCATAAATTTAAAGTAATTGGCACAGAAAGCTATATCTTAAAACACAAATAAGTGAACTAGAAAGACCTCACCATTTCTTCCTCCCTGCTCCACTGACAGACTACAATTGCTTACGCTATGATGTGGATGTAAACACACTAGCATTAATTTTATACAATCTGACAGCCATAAACCACTCTTAGTTAGAAATGCTGTGCAGATAATTCTTGGTCTACTTAGAGCTAAAAGCTACCAGTGCTCTGAGCCTGCCCATACTTTATCTCTAAATTGTAAGTCACAATAGATTTCTTAGAATTGTAAACATGCCAACAGAAAATAGTTCCCAGTATTCTTGACAGAGTTCATGCATATGAAACAGAGCTAATAAGATTGTTTCTGTTGACTCAATTACTGATTCAATTACCTTGGCAATCTGAAATAGATAAGATTTAGAAAGAGTTATCTTGGAAAATGAAAACTTAATTTTTTTCCTTAAAGAAAGAATAAGTAACAGAGCAGAGTGAGGAGAGAAATACAAAGGCACAGGGATTACAATTGGTGTGAAGAAGAAAGGAAGGAACACAAAACACTTTGACTTACAAAAGAAAATTCTAATGGGTAATATTTGCGCTTGGACACTCTCTGGCCTGTGTTCTGCTTTAAAGCTGTGCTGTGTGCCAAATAAAACTACCAAACTCTGCTGCTGGCTACTCCACCACAATTTCAAATGTAGTATGTCTTTGATCACTTTCTATGTGAAATACTTCTAACTGATAATAATTAATACTTCTTTTTTTACTTAAATTATTTAATGTTTAAAGTGTTACATATGTCTCTTTTTAGTCCAACTGACCTCCCGCTGCCGCTCCCACCTCCCAGCACATGTCCCAGCCCTCTACTGTCTGTACTCATTGGTTATACTTATATGAATGCATACAAATCTTTTGGTTGATCTCCTACTCTCCTCCCACCTTCCCCAGCCTTCCCTCTGAGGTTTGACGGTCTGTTTGTTCGATGCCTCTATATGTCCAGATCTATTTTTGCTCATCAGTTGATGTTGTTCATTATATTCCACAAATGAATGAGATCATGTGATATTTATCTTTCTCTGTCTGGCTTATTTCACTTAGCATAATACTCTCCAGGTCCATCCATGCTGTTGCAAAAGGTAAGAGTTCTTTCTTTTTTACAGCAGCATAGTATTCCATTGTGTAGATATACCACAGGTTTTTAATCTACTCATCTGCTGATTGGCACTTAGGCTGTTTCCAAATCTTAGCTATTGTAAATTGTGCTGCTATGAACACAGCGGTACATGTGTTCTTTCTGATTGGTGTTTCTGATTTCTTGGGATATATTCCTAGAAGTGAGATTACTGGGTCAAATAATTAATACTTCTATATTGATTTTGTACTACAAACAGTTGCTGTTTAAGCATATTATTATTTCATTTATTCTTTAAAGGACCCTATGACACATCATTATAATTGTCTATTTATAAATAAGGAAAAGAAGGCACAGGAAAGGTTAGTGATTAACCTCAAGAAAGTATCTTATCTAATAAAGAGGGAATATGCTAATTGACCATCACATCCTCACAAGATGGCAGTGTCCACAGCTAATAAAGAGGGAATAAGCTAATTGACTCTCACAACCTCACAAGATGGCAGCACCCATAAGTGGAACCCAGTGGAACAAGATGGTGGAACCCAGTCCCCTCAGCCCTGCCTCATCCAGCCTCAGTCCCCCAGTCCCTTCAGCCCCACCTCATCCAGCCTCAGTCCCCCAGTCCCCTCAGCCTCGCAGGGGAAGGCAGTTGGGGGCGAATGGCCCAGCAGGGAAAGGCAGTTGGAAATGATCATGCTGGCAGGGGAACAGTTAGGCATCAATCAGGCCAGCAGGGGAGCAGTTAGGGGGCTATCAGGCTCGCAGGCAGAGTGGTTAGGGGCAATCAGGCAGTCAGGCAGGCGAGTGGTTAGGAGCCAGCAGTACTGCACTGTGAGAGGGATGTCTAACTGCCGGTTTAGGCCCAATCGGACATCCCCCAAGGGGTCCCAGATTGAAGAGGGTGCAGGCTGGGCTGGGGGCCGGCCTTTCCCATGCATGAATTCCATTCACTGGGCCTCTAGTTGTTAGTAAATGGAGAAGATAGGATTCAAACACCAAAGCTGTGCATATGGCCTTAAGCATTGAGGTATGCTTAACACCCATTTTTTAAATTCCAAATCCATTTGGGCTAAACTACACTATTAATGGAAATTAAAAGACAGATTTGGGTGAAGCAGTAAGCCCAAAATTTATTCTCATCCTAAAGGCCATTATTCTATAAAACTTCACTTTGGCTTGCTCTTCCTGAGGTAAAATCTCCGAAAGTGATATTCTGAAATTTATTGAGTATTATTTCAGGAAACTAAAGAATCACAGAGATCAAAAATATAATGAAGAAAATCTATCTTGTGAAATTTAACACATCAATTTCTAATTTCTAAAAAACATGTGAACATGTAAATTTAAGCTATAGTTGAAAACATAGAGACTTTAAGTATAAATTGACATTTATTCGTTGTGTTGTATCTTGACCAAAATCTTACCTTTTTTCAGCCTCTATCTCTTTATCTGCATAGAAGAGATAATGCTAAAAAGATTATAAGAATTAAAAAGTGCACACACACACACACAATTTCTCAGTAAGTGATAATATTAATATATTAATAAATAACTTAAACACCATAATAACCTGAGTAGTGACTTTGTTCAGCTTTCCTGACTAACCATAAAGACAGTAGAGAAAGGTAGATGTCAGGAGCTGAATGGTGGTCACCAAAAAGATATGTCCATATCCTAGTCCCCAGAGCCTGTGAATTTGGGGGAAAATAAAAAAAAAAAAAGATTTACACATGTAATTAAGTTTAGGATCTTGAAATAAAAAGGTGGTCTTAGATTACCAGGCTAGGCCATAAATGTAGTGGTGTGTCCTCATAGGAGACAGAGGAGAGACACAGATAGAAGAGAAAGGGGAAATGTGAGCACAGAGGCAGGGATGGAAGTGATGTGGACACAGGTCGAGGAATGCCCACAGCCACTAGAAGCTGGGAGAGGTAAGGAATAGATTCTCCCCTAGAATCTCCAGGGACAGTGAAGCCCTGCCAACACCAGATTTCAAATTGCTGGCCTCTAGAACTGTGAGATAATGAATTTATCTGCGTGAATGTGGACCAAAAATGGGAGGCTCTGTAAATAAATCTAGCAATTCTAGTGACTGAAAGTAACCTCACAGGGTGATCTGACCATAAATGCACAATTGGGCAGCTTATGGTGAGTAGTCATACCCCAGGCATATAAGTTTTTTTTTAATAATTGCCTTTCTGTTATTTTTTATTATCATTATTATTTTATTGACTTCAGAGAGGAAGGGAGAAAGAGAGAGATATAGAAATATCAATGATGAGAGAATCATTGATTGGCTTTCTTCTGCACACTTCCCACCAGGGATTGAACCCACAACCGGGCATATGCCATGACTAGGAATTGAATCGTGACCTCTTGGTTCATAGTTCAATGTTCAACCACTGAGCCACACAGGCTGGGCCATATAACTTCCTTAGTAGGTTTATCTTTGCCTTCAGCAAGCACTGTCCATTCTTTTAGTGCATCCAGGTAAACACACCTTTGGAAAGCTCTTTTTCAGAGCTCTGAGAAGTATAACCACCCTCAAGAGAACACACATAACTGTGTTAACAATCCTGCAATCTAACCCCTGACTTGCTTTCTCCCACCTCCGTGTCATCTTTATGTTCCCTCCTTAATTCCAAATGTATAAAAGAAACCACAAACTGTCATTCTCTGGAGAATTTCAGATATTGCTTCCCAGCAATTGTTGTCAGGTTGGCTCAAATAAATTCTTATAAAATACTCTGAAGATTTGGACATTCTTACATCAACATTAAGCTATCAGATTTGTGGTAATTTGTTATGACAACCATAGGAAACAAAAACAATAAATATTATTTTTACTCAGCTATTATACCATAACAAAAAGATGCTATAATTATTATCCTATATAATAAATAGCTAATATGCTAATTAGACCAGACAGCCAAATGTCCTTCCAGATGTCCTTCTGGACATCCTTCCAGATGAAGCCATGGCTGCAAGGGCTGAGGCAAGAATGACCTTCCTGAACGAACAGTGGCAGGGGGTGGGACCAGTGAGCCTGTGCCTCCAGGCCAGCCATGGCAGTCCCTGAACCTCTCCTTCCTCACAGGCAGCAGGAGAGGCGGTGGCACAGGTCTAGTCCTGGCACCCCCACTTCCGCAGAGGCAGTGGGAGAGGGGGCGGCGTGGTCCTGGCTCCTCCACAGAGGTGGGATGGGGTGCGACCACGATGCCTCAACTTCCCATGGCCCATCCCCCAGCCTGCCTGGCCCAAATTGGCCCCCCAAACAGTGGGTGGGAGGTGGTGCCAGAGCTAAGGAGCAGCAAGCCAGCTTCTGGTTGAGCGCCCCCCACCCCTCAGCCAGAAGCCGG